AAGAGAAACTCCTTCTCTGTCTTCATCCGCTCATTTTATTTTAACCCGGGTTTCTTTAATGTTGGCATTTACAACTTCCAGTTGCCACTGAAGAAGGGTGTTAGGAACAGTGGTGATGGTTTGGAGGCTGTGCCCACAGTCACTCAGCAAGCAAGCAGAGGACTTAGCTATGGACATGGCTCTTCCTTTTGAATGCGCTTCTACAAATGTTCTTGGCTGTTGGCAGGAGGACGACAGCAGTAGGCTGGCATTTAGAGTGTTAACTACTGGTTACTGACTACTCAAAGACTTAGCATACATACTTGGATATTTTCAGAACAGTCACCCAACAAAAGAAATGCCTGGCAACGTGTCTGCAGGTATTCCTGGGAGTGATGTCTATCTACGTCTTACTTTATTTTTGTTATTTCATGAACAAATGAGAACATGTAAATATGTTAAATAATCACACTAACTTCTAAGGCAACCACAATTTTATATGTGGGAGTTCTGCTAGATTTTACTTGTAAGCTTCAGTTTAGTTGCAGTATATATCAATGAATCACACACAAAACACGTCATACATAGTTACTTAACCTGTGGGTTGTGGCTCAGAGCCCCTTTGAATGCTTGCATGTCTTAGGAAGGCATGTTTATTCACAAATGAAGTGAACATGGGACATGAGCTCCGTCCCCTTTAAATGTGTCTTCAAGACAGCACTAGGAAATAGCAGAACCAAACAGTAAGGGCATATGCTCACATTCAGACCTCGGTGCTGGGCAACATTAAGAGGGTCGTATCAATGATCTCATGTAATCTACTCTTAGGAGCCCTTTAAGGCAGGAATTGCACTTACTTTACAGATGAGAAATCTAAGGATTTTTCCCCGTGTACAAATGTGGTGTCTATCCCATGTGTACACATGCCTCCTGAATGTGCACATGCATACGTGCATATTTTGTGTACATGCATATAGTTGTCTGAGGTTGACATAAGCTGCCTTTGAGCTCTACCTTACATGTTGAGGCAGGGTCTCTCATTTGGAACTAGAGCTCACTGATTTGGGCATTCTAGCTAGTCAGCTTGTGCCAGGGACCCATCTCCGCCTCCCAGATGCTAGGATTGCAGGTCTCATCCACCTGGCATTTATACACTTGGGGGTTAGGGATTTGCATTCTGGTCCCACACTTGTGTGGCAATCACTATACTTACTGAACTGTCTTCCCCAGCCTCTGTGAAGCTCTAAGTTGCAGTTACATGTCCAGAATCACCAATTAACAGACTAATACTTCTAAGACAGACAAATTAGGACTCTGAAAGTATTCAGGATACCAGTGAACATTGTAAATACGTACATTTCTAGCTGCAAATTCTGAGTGATTGACAAGTTTGGGGCAGTAGCTGTGAGTTCTACAAGCACAATCAAGGCCCTAGGTTCTATGTCCAACACTGCAAACAGTAAATATATGAACTTGAAAATTACTACCTTGGCTTGGCAGACTCATGACCTCAGTTCTGCAAATAGAAGGGACAATAGCTGCTATTGGACAAGAACCACCTCTTCTTTCTCAACCAATTCACAGATCACATTCATCTGATTTTTCTCAGGAGGAATGCATTAAGATCTGTATGGCATGACCTCCTTTTTGAGAAGGCAGGGTAGTGTCTCAAGATACAAATCTTATTTCTGGACCTGGGCAGACAATGCAAACAGTTCCTGTGTCTCTAGGTGCCCTAAGAAGTGGTGGTGGGGTTAACAAAAAGATGTCTTTTGAGATAAGGAAAACAAGGAATATATGATTAGCTTACAACTACTGTGAAAATATGATCTTTGAAGAACTGGTGAAAATCTAATCTTCAGATTTTAATGCCTGCTAAGTCATCAAACCAGCAGGGCTGCCAGTCTATATACCTGGTGCCAAGACTGCCAGGGGGCTGATGTCTTAAAAGGATACCATCCCAGTGACTGAGCAGATAGAAGGCAAAAGAAGTTATAACAAGAAAAATTGGTTACCTTAAAGTACAGAGAGATGCAAAATGTAGATGTCAAAAGAAAACTTTCAATGGTGTCAAGCTACTTTGTTCAAGAAACCTATGATATTAATCCTTTACACACAATAATAGATGACACCAGGATTTGGTAAGCAATGCTGTTTATGGTGCTAGGCATGTATCTAAGCTGGCAACTTAGATCTACAAACTGAGCTACGTCCTCAGCCCTCTTCCAAGAAATCCTTACATGTAGAAAACTAACCTAAAAACTGTATTAATGTTTCCTAAGGACTAGCATGGTGTTTTGGATGCACAGGACCAGCCAAGGAGCACAAAGTAGTTTATCGATTTTCTTCTTTTAAAAAGTGATCTGTAAAGAACTAGAACTACAATGTGAGATTCTTGAATTTTCTAAGCACCGCTTAAAGGATCAATAAATACATAAATGTGCTCCCTACTTTGGTATTTCTCTGTGCGGGGGCGGGGGAAAGAAGGGGATCTACCACATTTTCAGCTTTTTATTTTTATTTTTTTGGCTTGACAAGATGCAGCAATGCACGCTGTCCAGTTTTTATTGAACCTCATGTACAGTTTGCAGTTTCCCATTTAAGTGTGACTTGGGAACGTCTATTCATCACACACACACACACACAGTATGTCTATTCACATATATACACATATATCTATAGACACACACACTTACAATTTCCAACGTAATATATCTCACAATAAATATATTTGACTCAAAACTTTGTAATAATAGAACCTTTAAAGAGATATAAAGTAATGTTCACCCTAGTTGCTTGTCAAGTGTCTCTTTAAGGGGCAGCAAACTTCAAGGAATGTGAACTGCACTTTACCTAGTCACTATTCACAGGAACCATTGCCCACAACTACCAATCAATCCCTGGTAATTAGTGCAACAGACACAAAGAAAGGAGTGTATTGTGTTTCAGATTAACCAGTTTGATTCAGCATTGAGCATCAGCTATAGATACTTTTTTCAAGTCCCTTCAAAATAAAGACAACTCAATTTAGGTAATTTTATGTAAAAGAAACCAATCATTAAATATACTTGGTTAAATGATACTGTCTATAAAACGGATTAAGCTATTATTCCACTTTAAAGGTATTAAATGCGTTGTAACAATATATATTATCCTATACACTTAAAAATGTGGGAGACCAAGAAGTTTACAGAGAATAAATTTAGCTTAATTAATGCACAATTTGGTAATATGCTCCATTCTGCCAGTAAAAAAAAAAAAAAAAAAAAAAAATCAGAGGTCAAGAATGCTGTACCAGTTAGCTGTCATCAAGGATTAGACAGGCATCCCCTTCCAGTCACACAAACTCCTTCCTGCAAAACACACACACACCCTTTCCCCAAACACCTCTCTTGTGTGCATACAAACATTTTTTAGGGGCTTCAACAACTCCCTCACATGGGCACTGCCATACATGAAGATGGTACACTACAATAATGTGAATGTAATTTTCATGTTTTCCTAGATATTTTACCTAACAAAAAAGAAAAATGCTTTACTAAGAACATTAATATCAACAGCCTTTTGAAAACACATATGTAATCATTTCATCAAATAGCATCAAATAATAAAGTGACTCTAAAACTTCCCCCACCCCAGCAATATGGCTGTTTAAAACTATCGTAATAACATAAAAATGTGAACTTGCAATGCTATCTGAATCATGTGAGACTGTTTCTGAACAACGTTTTCAGTAGGAACAGTGGTAATAAGACACAGCCATACACGAAGTACCCTCACTGCATGCTGAAGCTTCAGAGAATATTAATGGCACAGAAGTTCCTCATCAACTATTGTGCCAAATACCATGAAAATTTGGGCAGCAGCCTGACAGCATATTCAAATTTTCATAGAGTACTACACACGTGGTTATGGCAATGCAACCTGCATACCAAATGATACTACAAGGCCTCCTCCTCCTCTAATTAGAGATTATTCCACATGTGTACAGGGTCAAAAGTCATCAATGGTTTGATTAAACTAGTCTGGCTCTTCTGAGCTTCACATATGCACAAATATTTTAACAGTATGCTTTCACAAAGTTATCTTATAATTCAGCTCTTAATTTTAAGGACTCTAAAATATAATTTCAAAATGTGAACCATAATTTATAAAAGCAAAATTCACCTAACAGTGATTTTTTAAAAATGTTAAAGGATTTTTTTCGCACACAGGAAATTATGAATCTGTGAACAACGTACAGACTGAAGTGTTTAAAGAAGTAATACTCAGAGGTCCTTCTACACCGAACAACCCAAGTGAAGCATGGGATAGGCAAATAATCCTAAGTGTATGTCTATGCTAGAAATTAACAACACACGTCAGATTAGTGTTCGCTTCTGCTGCACTTCTTGTGTAATTGTCTAGGCTGTTCTGAAAGTGACTAAGAGGAAAGCCACCTGAGAGAGATCCATAACACACTGAAGGTGGGGGTGGGAGGGGGATGGACAAGACTGGGCAGCACTGCCCAGAGAAACAGACTAGCTTTAATAGGAGCGGGTGGCTAAACAACACAGGGAAAATATCAATTGACTCTTAACATTATAATAGGACTGAAAATGACCTGTTTGTAGAAATGGTTCAACAAGGAATCAGACTGGTTTCTCAAGGTGATCATCACAGTAAACCTCTGATACTCTTTGTGTTGTCAGCAGACAGGGATTATTGTGGAGCAGGAAAAATAAAGTGTGGAATTAGTAATGCAGATGCGGAAAGGCCAGTGCCATGATGAGAATGACTCAAACAGACGCTGTTCCCATCTCCACTGCACCTACCCTCCGAGGTAAAAGGCCAGAACACCCAAAAGCTTTTAGCAGCAGTGTGCACAACCGTCAGCTGACAGACAACACAGAAAACAAGTCACGCGATATTATCTGTGGTCACGTTCTTCAACGTTAGTCCAGGAACTCGAGACTTTATTTATCTCTGTTTATTTTCATTAAACATGTAAAGGTTAATAAACAGACATAGTCCAGAGTTAGTAGGTTGGTATTATAACATTTATTAAAATAATGCTATGGGTTAATAGAAACAGCAAAGAACCAAAGAATTAAAATGCAAGCTATGTAAAATCCCAACTAAAACCCAGAAGTGTCTAATGTATTCATTCATCAGCTAACTAAAAGCCCAAGAAAGACAAGACACCCAATATAATAAAGTACTGCAAAACAATTGGCAATTTTCAGTTATCAAAATTGTGGATTTTGCATTTTGTATCCTTTTCTCAATCAAGAAAAAAATTCTTCTGAATGTTATATAACATACATATAAAACAAGATAGAAAAATACATTATAAACTTGTAACAATGGCTGTAAATACATTATCTTACATGTTTCTCATAGGCAATAGGTTGGTTATGGTACATACATAGCATGAAACTACTAAGATAATAAAGAATAGACAAAAAATACATGTCAGCTGTATGGTAACATACCAGCGACACTCCCATCTACCCACGCTAAAAAATTACATAATACTGTCAGGAAAAAAGTCTTAAAAACTACATACTTTAATAAGAAAAAAATTCAATAGAGTGATAATACTGAGAACCAAGGCATTCAGAGATTTCAAAAGTCATGCTTTTTTCAGTTGACACAAAACACTGTCAACTAAGTTTTCAGAAGTTTGTTCAGAGCCAGCATTACTCATAAACTTCACACGTCTACTGTTTACAGATTTACTTTCTTCCCCATAAAAGACCTTTGATAAACATCTAAAATGTCCAGGTATAACACAGCTGAGATGAGACTGGATCAAATACTGGTACTGTTTTGTTTTTTTTTTAAACTATCACCTCAAGTGTTCTGAGTGTCGCAAATTTATTCAACAAACCAAACAAAATAAAAATCAAAATGGCACAGCATATATTGTAAATAAATCAAAACACCACGTGTGTAACAGAAAGACAAAGCCGTGGTACATTAAACCAAAGCTAGCTGAGTACAAACAACGACTGTCTATTGCATAGTAAATAAACTGAAAATGGTTCCAAGAGAGACAGAATAATGGCGAGGTCACCATGAAGGTGCCCAATGAGCTTCCTGCTGACCTTGACTGTGAAGCCATGAAGGTATGGAAGAGGGCATGAGTTGATGAGCCAGGAGTCCACTGTCACAGGGATTTGCCACCTCTGGTACTGAGCAACTAAATTTATGAACTCAAGTATTTAGATGCAGGCTTTGCACGCAAACTGCTTCAACTACAGAACTGTCGTAACTTTGTGAGAAACTGAAGATGAAAGGAATGTAGCCAAGTGTTTATATGCACTGTGATGCTAGATTCCCACATTCCTTTAAAGTCAAAAGAGGACAAAAAGGTGTGCTTAGGAGCAGTTACTAAAGCCAGCAGAGATGGACTACACAAGGTATCTGGTATGACATAAAGTCTGATTAAATTTGGGTTACTTAACACTTTTTCCACAATAAAGGATTTTGATGATTTATTTTTGTGAAAAACTTTGTTAGGCATTACAATTATCTCCAATTATTAAAGAAAAAATTCAATATATCCCTCTTCTCTGAATAAAATAAAGCTCTAATGTCATCTGCAAACTAAAATTCAGATCTCACATAATTTTTTCTAACCTCAGAATCCTCTGGGCTAACACTGAAGACGGTAATAACCAAAAGAACTCAATTATGATTTGTAAGAGAATGACATTTTAAAATTTACTAGTCGGACATTAGAAAAGCTATTACTTTTTTTCACAGTATCAGATTTGGCAAACTGGCATCAAGATAACGTGACACAAATCATATAATTTAGACCATCAACTCATCTGTTTCCCCTCGTATCTCCTTTCACATACTGGGCGATGGAGGACATGCACTAACTTTTACTCTGAGGGAGGAGCTGCTCTTGCAGGACACTTGACTAAATGACCATGAAGGAAAATAAGGCACTTTCTTTTTCTTTAGACTTATTCCAATACTTAAAAAATAAAAAACAAAGACAAAAAGGCTCTTTTGGTCTTTTGTTTCTTGACAACCACCAGAAAAAATCATTTAATGAAATAAAGGGTTTCTTTGTTCTTTTTCTTTTTTTTTTATAACACTTGAAAGTATAAAATGCTACATTTCCAAAAATATATATATTTTTTCTGCACCAGCACCCTTGTATAGTAAAAGTATCTACTTTTTGTTCATTTGTTTCAATGCACTACACGTTATCTACAATTTCATTACATGTATACAGCAAATAGGCAAGCATGGCTTTTACATCCTTAATGATATTTTCTATACAGGGAGGTTTAAAAAAAATATTTGAACAGTTTGCCCAGTAATGTGACACATAATGCATGTACCTTGTTCTCGAATAAGTTTTAAGGTGGTGTAAAATAAAGATTTGGAAATTAACTAAGATACTCAACTTTTTAAAAATAGTGTTGCAGTTTTGTTCCTTGCATTACTTTTCAAAACTCCTTGTTAAGTTTTTCTCTCATGGCACACTTTGTTCTAATACTTCAAATTTTGGCAGGCAATATAAAAAGGCTGCAATTTCTGCCCTTTGAGGGCACTGTAGTGACTAAACAAACAGCATGTCAAATTTTGAATACTTTAGAAGTCACTTCACCAATGACATCCCTGACCGAAGGTTCATGCATGATGCATTGTCACACAGTACATTCAGAGAGAGCTTTGACTTTGCTATGAGAAGAAAAGAGTCCTACAAGTCTCTCACAGTAACTGCCTCTGTCATTGAGTAGTTAGGGCCATCTGTCTCCCCTTCTTAAGAGAGGCCTTCTTACCGTTCGCTTGGGGTGGGCATTGAAAGATGATCAGTGCTGTGGGATGAATCGGGCCTTATTGCTTTACTACAATTCAGTGCAGGTTCTAGAACCACTTTCACCCAAACAGGGGGGAAAAGTTGAGTTGGAGGACAATTTCTTTGTCTTTTGTTTGGTTAGATGGTAAGACGAACGGACAAGTGCCTCAGCTCGCTGCACTGACGACAGGCAAGCAAAGGCGATTACCAGTTAACTGATCAGCAGGCAGGCATGGTCAGGTCATCATTGGGTGAAGAGTTCAGAGGTCAGAAGGTCATAGGTTAGTTGCCGGTGGCGGCTGGGTGGTTAGAAACAAAAAAAAATAACAAAAACAAAAAAACAAAACAAAACAAAAAAAAGAAAAGAAAAGATAGAGAAGAGATTAGTTTCAGCTAGTGACGGCTTAATGACAACATGAAAACTAATACAACTAATAAAAAAAGCATGTTGAATTCTGACAAACTGATTGACACCATCTACAGAATACAATAAAAATCATGACAATTTCATATCATGATTTGAACAAATAAATGAAGAAGAGCCCACTCCCACAAAAATAATTTGAAAAACCCCAACTTGTTAACAGAAAAAATAGAAATAAAATACAGCTAACAACTAATAGTTAGTAGCAGTCAATGAAGGAAACTGGGAAACAATGATGAATAGGTTTGGTATAAAGAATTTTGAGCAGTCAGTGCAGTTATGAGTATCTGACTGCTATTAAGCATTAGTATTCTCTCAGATGCAAGCAATAAAGCAACTATTAATGATGGATGTGATTATTAATAACTGATGATTAACAGAAATGAATCTAAAGAAATTTAAATTACTATGAACAATTTGGTTTAACATAAACTCTGGGCCAAACAAGGTTTCTTTTGTTCAATAAATGTTTATTGCTTTTTCAATTATTCTATTTACAAACAACATGGAATTTTCTTGGCCTCATGATACAAAGCAATACTGTAGTCTAGCAGTGTAGGCAACATCATGGGAACCAGAAAAGGCCAGGCCTTTTGCACCAGCCAACACTTTCCAGTTGAAATACTAATTTACACATATAGAACACTTATAAAATGCACTTGCATGTAAACACTGTAAAATCCTGCCATTTAAAACTCTATACCTCAAAGAACTCTAAGTACATAAAAAATAGAAGAAATTTCTAACTGATACCAATAAGGCATTTTAAAACTACAAATAGCTTTCTTTATTCAATTTCAAAGCTAATACTCTGCAAATACAATAAAATCTGACATTTCATATACATTCCTGCTTTATATTTTTATATTTTAAAAGAAGCCACTTGTAAATACTATTTTCTTTTGCAAAGTAACAAAAAAGAACAAAAAATTTAAAAAATTACAGTAAAACATAAAGTAGTTCTCAAGTGGAAAAGTTATCACTCCAAATGTCCTTGAGTAGCTCCTTCCTGAATCAGCCTGTCACAGTCTACTTCACCAAACTTGGTCCACTTAACAGTAGTATGATTCTTAAGACTCATTCAACAGCTTAATTATTTCTACTCTATTCTGAGGTTTGACAGAACTTTCTGTACTGTTGCTGCCACTGTGACAAAGGCAGGAGAGATGTGAATGAAAAGATGCTCAGTGCAAAGTTAAGATTCTATGCCACTTCATAACTCAGAGCTGCAGGTGTAATGTTCACAGGGTTTAAATGCTCTCTATAATATTTATCTTTGTATGACAAAAATGCTTTCTATAGTTTATCAATTAGGACAGTTTATAAATACTACAAAAATACTGTATCTTCAATATAATCAAAACTTCCCTGAATTTCTTAAAAGGAAGTAGAATTTTATTTAAAATTAAAAAATAAAAATGTTGCTCTCCAAAATTTAATTTGTATAAGTAACGATTTTTATCAAATCATTGCGTGGACAGTTTCTAATGACATTTGAGTGTGGAGTATTTAACAAAGCAAACCATCATATCCAGTGCATCTAAAATACATCCTCTGCCATGTCCTGGCCTTCTGCAGTACACACAGCTATGTCAACTGTGCAAAATCACTTACAGTTCATTACAACTATAGTCAGTTGGTCTTTAAGTTTCAAATCAATTTTGAAATAAGCATGGTGGTGGATTTGTTTTCAGTAAGCAACCACTCTAAATGCTCACAAATAGTTACATGGTTGTATGTCCTTGGGTTGTGTCCTTGCATCAAATGAGTGCTAATAATAATTTTCTCTTTGAAAGATATTTTTAAATTAAAAAAAATAGAGAGAACAGTAGTATCATAAAATAATGTAAGTCAAGGACTTCGGTCATCTCCCTTAGACCCAATGAGTAGTACATGTGGTGATAGTAAGTGTAAGCCATCTGTTTCTAGATGAAGAAAGGAGGAAGGGAGGGATGGAGGGAAGAAAAGGCATTTCGGTTTGCTGACATTGCATTTCAAATACAAATATAACTAATCAGAATAAACACAGCTATAGATGAGCCATGTATGGAATGTGTTGCCATTTTCTGAACACAGTAAGATCTTGGTCTAATATTTTCAGCTACCTGAAGGCTCTGGAGTACAAAGTGAAAAGGGACTGTTGTGTTAACAAAATGACAGAAAGTCTCCTAAGACGAAAGAAAAATCTAAAAAGAAAAATTACTTCAAAATCAAAACACTCTGTAAGAGAATTATTTTAGACTTTAACAGTATGATACAGCTTCAATTAGGTATGATATTGCCCACACCTAAAGTGACCTTCCCCATCTAACTTCCTTGAATGGTCGATATGCTCACACTTGGCACAGTTGCATGGAGTATTATCATTATGGATGTTCCCCCAGAAAAGGGTTTATTTTGTTTAACAAATAATCACTACAGAAAAATGTATACAGCAGCTAAAATTTTCAGAACTCTTTCAGCATATATGATATTAAATAAATATCATTGTTGTCTTTGGAATGGCATTTTATTTCTAACACACAAAACAACTGTGTCCAATATTTATGGTAGGTATTCAAAAGTAACCATGTCAAGTGGGCTAGGTCCTTTTCTACTTTTCCTGGGGCTCCAATCTTGCAATTAAAAACAAAACAAAACAAAACAAAACACCACACAAAAAATAAAAAACAATTCAATGTCAAAAAACCGAAACTACCATTTTCTGAATAAGAATAAATAATTTAAAAATGGGCCCAAGGGCATATATAGGGCACAAATTACAAATATGAAAGTGAGAAAAATGAGGACTTGTTTTCCAGTCACAGGTTAGTCAAAAAGGATATCCGAACAGCTGGATCTCACATACCACAGAACTTCAGGATAGTTTACCTTCAGGTATTATATTTTAGCAGCAAAAGACAAAAATCAAAGGATCCATTTTGGCAAGAAATAGAGTAAGAGGGAACTCGTTTTCTAATTCATTAAAAAGTATCATAAACGAAATTATTTTCACAGTCCTGACTGTTGATTTTAGCTAAGTACTTGACATGTATACCCTCATATTTATATAGTGGCTCAATGTTTTATTATATAGAAAAATGAAAAATAAATCTTCACTTTTCTCCAAAATTACACAGAAGCAATTCTTTTACTTCTCTCATGAACACATAATCTGTTCAATTCATTTTGCAGTACCAACCCAAATATTCAGAATAATTAAAGGGTAAGTTTTAGCAATAATTATTACTAAAAATTGCAAAGGAAATATAAAAATTTAATAACTTCTCAAATTGACTAATATATGTTTTAACTGGAATAAATCTTAGGACATGCAACAGAAGATTTAATAAATTAAAATATAAAAGGAAGGGGCAAAAACCCAAAAAAAAACCCAAAAAATCATAAACAAAACCACAAAAACCAACCTTAAATCAATCAATTATTAAATTAATTTAGGAAAGGAAAAGAAATGTGTGCAGGTAAACAATTACATTTTTCCATCAGGTGTGGTGTTGCAAACTTAATGGACACCCAGCACATTGCTTATAAACAAGAACTGCAGAACTAAACTAACCTCGGTCTGCGGTCACAATCCTTTGGTAAGGATGGACACGCATATCGTGCCTTCGAACTTTAGTAGCCACCGCACCTAGTTAAATTGCAATTACCAAGACAAAGTTAGAAAACATACATAAGGGAAACATCGACAGCAGGTTTATCAAAATGGATCTCAAATGTTCACTTACTACAAAAAGCTTAAGAAACACGTTAAGGCACAGTAGTTTTAAAATTAACTGTAGTATGTCATGTATATATGCATCTATCAATATTGCATTCGTTTCAAACAGGTTGGCCTTCCACCTACTTCATCCCTTCATGTACAGTCCCCAAGTCACAGTGTCTCAAAGCTCTATGAGATCCAGACGTAGCTGGGCTTTACTAGTCACATATTCACTGAAGTGCCTTTCTTGCAGCAGAACTACTTAAATAATGCCACATTTAATACTGACAAGTATTTGCTAACCTTAACTTTCAGAGTTTATTACTTAAAAAGATTTAAAAAGCAACTCTTAAAGCCTACAGATTGTGGTTTTAAACTTTTGAGTCAATAAGTATGAACTGCAATGAATTAGGTGATTAGTAAAGCAAACAGTACAGTACACTTAGCAGTCAGTATACTACTATACACTCCTTTTATAAATTACCGTTGCTTTGCAGTATAACAGACTAATCCAAATTAATAACATCATTTTACTTTATATCTATGTGCAAAAGTGCAAGTAAGTCACTGACTGCTAGGCTAAGCTTTTCCCCGGAGGCTGCTGAGACTAAGCATTGGTTAAATTCAGATCTGATGAGGGTTCAGTTAAGACCGTTCTTGAATTCTTAGCCTTTCGTTGGGAAAGCCATACCTAAAGATAAAAGGAAGGGAATTAAACATTAGTCATCAATGAAGACTTGATGCTAATACCAATCTCCTCACTACCACCAACACACATGTCTGCATCTGTTTTGAAGGGCACTGCGTATTTTAAAATAATGTTGAGACTGGATATATAAGCATGCATGTTATCTGTGTGCAAATTTACTGTCAATTGGGAATTTAATTTTTTTAGTTCTCTAGAAGGCCAATATCATAGTTTTACTGCTTAGGTGGCAAAGCAATAAACGACAATAATCATAAGAGTATTTTTTATTATTCAGTACTTATTATTAAGAACCTTGAAATTGCTAACTGGGTATCTGCATATTTTGCTCTTAATTTTCCTGGTTTAATACTCAACTCTTCATAATTTTAGATGTCCCAACCAAACAAAACATGTTGCTTTACAATGAGAAATTTTTACAGCAGTGCCTCTTGCTCTCTCTAAGCAGTAAACTGGTTGAGAATCTATTTTTCATTTTGGATATGCAGATTGCAGAGAAATATAATTCTATCTGGCAAAACTAGGGAGCTCTTGTACTAAGAGTCAGGAGTCCCAGACATGCAGAAAGCCAAGAGTAGTAACTCCTCAGGAACAGATGCTGTGAGTGCAGCAGAGAGGAGTGCTGGGGAAGGAGCATGCACGGGGTCACAGGACAGAGTATTAATAGAAAGGAAAACTTAAATAAGGTTACAGGTTACATGTTATTTTTTTTAAAAAAATGCTTCAAGAAATGTACAACAAAACACAGCTTCTCACTAACATTTCTGTGGTATAATTCTGACTTATTTTATACAATATTCAGACAGAAAACATTACAATAAAATGCATTTGTTTATAAAACAAAAGGCACGTAGGTGCATGCACACACACAGATAACATACAGAGCATTGTGGCTTTCTTTAAATGAACAATAAATTTTCAAGTTTAAATCTTTGTGTCCAAGTTCATTAAAGATTTTCCAATTAATATTAAGCTGGGGAAGCCCTTTAAAAGATCAAAGTTCTAAAAAATCAATAGCAAACACGCAGCACCAAAGATCATACACAATTCAGGGGAAAAAAAGTTTCAAAATTCTGTCTGGTAAAACAGTGGGGTTGCACAGAGAGTTTTTTTTTCCACATTGACTGGTCGTGCTATAACAGCTGCTGTACTCTAGTCCTTCATCCAGCAAGTCAATGGGCTGAAATATCAGGCATGACTGGCATTTCAATCCACTCTATAAAAAAAAGGCATCAATAATGTCTTTTTCACGAATATTGTTTTTTGATTATGTAAACTCGTGAGTTTATATGACTTTAATTTTTGCCTCTAACATAACTGAATTTAGTAAGTTGATGTGTGGTCATCTAGTTCCTAGTGACTATGGAAACTGTAAAATATTGGTCATGTTAACCAGGACTTCAAAAGACAGAAGCTGAAAATCCTTCAAACTGCAACAATTAACTGCATCCTTTAAGTGATCATAAATATTTAAATAATACACAATAGAAATTTAATAAACTCTCAATTAGCTTTCAAATTCCGCTAGCAACTAAACCTCTGAGACAACAAATCTAATTTTGGGAGGTAGAGCTGATGAGGCCATTAGGACCAAGTGGCAAGAATAGCCTAAAATTCAAGAACTTCAATCACCTAAGTAATAAAAGCACTGACTGGTTGAGAATGTACATGGCAAGTATACCTGGTGATTCTGAGACACTACACTAAATGTAAACCAAATTAAGGTATAGCTAGTTACTTAATGGGAGAACTCTTGGGAGGAACTGAAACAAACACAAATTTAGTTTCCAACCTTTCCTAATCAAAACTTACATTGCCTCTCTAGACTTCGACAAATATCATTTCAGAGTCTGGGGAGTGGAGGTGGGGCACCAGTCAGGAATGCACTAACCATCTAGTAATGGACTCATACTTACCTAACACACCACTGGGTTCAATGGGGTACTCAAGGATTGATGTAGCTGGTGCCAACGTGTAGGGGTATTCATAGGGTGTGTAGATTAACCCAGCTTCAGGCCCTGGAGGGACTATTGCAGCAGTTGGGTGAGGAGTTCCGTTTGGCATGACAGCGGTCTGTATTTGTCTGATCAAAGGCATTATGGTAGGGCCAGCTGGCGTAGGTGTACGCAGAGCAGCTGGTGGGAGGACAGGCGCAGGCCCAGTGATGATCCTTGGAGCAGCCTGGGCAGTTGCTGCAAGAGAAAAGGCAAGGGCTGCTACAGTAAGCAAAGAAATTTAGAAAGAAGTACAGGGATAGCAGTATAAAACATGGGGAAGTAAGAGGGAAGTCGGAAAAAGAAAAGAAAAAGCAGGAAAGAAGAAAAATAAAAGGAAATCATTAGTACATGCATTGATCACACAAAAATGCCAAAGCATACCAATCAAATGCAATCAGCTTTCCCTTTAACAACGTGATTGAAAATAATGCAAAAATTAAAAACCCAGTATAAAAAAATTGACCAAGACCATTAAAATGTTATACTGTTCATTTATTTGGTGATATATTCAGCATAAAATATTGTCAGTCTAAAAGTGCACGCAAAAAAAAAAAAACCAATCACCCAAAAAGCGTAAAAAAAAAACAAAACCAAAAAACATTCAAATTAAAAGGTGCAATTAAAAATTTATAATTGAAGTCCACAGAAACAGATATGGTTTATTTCCAAAAAGCAGCACTGGCTTCAAGCTTAAGGGAAACTACCTGGGTTAAGTCAGGTAAGTAAACCCTAAGTGTATGTCTGGACCTAATGCACAAGTACAAGAATCCAGAAAGCAGTCCTATCACTAAATTCATGACTATTAAGAGTAAATTAAAGGCAACCATTTAAAGTAACTATTATTAAACTCACAGGGTTGCCTACCTTTGGGAATTTTGACTATGCTTTCAAACTTCAATTTCTTAAAATTAATAATGCTCTAAATATGATATATTCATATAAATCTTATGTTGTTTCAAAATATACATTTTATAAAACACTGTTCTTTTGGACAGCTTATAAATTTATGCATAATCCAAGGGAGAACACTGGCTGAAAACCATTCTCACCCACTGACCTCTGTAAACTCAAATAGGAACTTAAGTAGAAAAACAACAACAAAACACATACATACACACACACACACAAACAAAAACAAAAAAAAAACCCAAACATGAGTGCAAACATGCAAGCAAGGGGGAAGGAAAGATTTCAACAGCAGAGCCTAGACACTTAAAATAAGCTCTTTTAAAAAAACTTTAAAAATTTTGTCTTTTGCATAATATAACAAGTTTAAAGTCTTAACCGGATAATTAACACAACAAGACACTTTCTGAACCCCTTCACCAGAAGAGTAAATCCCAAACCTGATATGCTGGTATAAAATAAAATTGAGCAGGCCATCGTTTACAGAAGCATTTAAAAAAAAAAATGGGGCTCTTGGTTGTATTGTAAATGTTATCATTACTTCAAGGAAATGGGCTTGTAGACAAACAGGTGCAACCCTTCCCAGGCTCATTCTTACGTGATTTAATGTTGGCGTCTCTGTAGGTGCCGTTCAGAATCGCAAGCTCCATCAGCTGCATCTTCTTCAGGCTGTCTTCGCCTTCGGCCTGCATACGAGAAAAAAGAGCAAAAAGTATGAGACAGTATAACATATATCACAACTAAAAACTGTATACCAAGTGACTCAGAACTAAAAATGTAAACTAAAAATAACCACACAATTTGTAAATGCTTATTCCTGCTTCCTTATGCCACTTTTCTTGGTTTCTTTCAATGTACCTAGCAAGTGCTTCAATTCTATCTTTGGCCCTCTATACTTAGGATAATCATAAAATTTACTACCTACATAGGATATATATACAAGGGAAAAGGGAACTAAACTAATTAGACTACATAGGCAGAAACCAGCTACATCGTTTACCATGGCTTTACCCCGTTCCATTAATCAATACTACTCTTGGAAAGTCATTACAGTTATACTACCCAAACTACTGAATTCAGCTGTCAGTGGTGCCTGTCATTTAATACATACATACACAATCTAAACACCAAATCTAGACTCAAGGCCCAGATAAACTTCCCCAAACACAGTTTCTACCTTAATGTTTCACAGCATTCTCCTGTCTTAAACCCTACTGTGATTTCTTACTATCCGAAAAAAGATTTTAAACCTTTCTCAAACTGCCACCTCAGGGTGTACATGCTCTTTCACACAGATATTATACAGCAACAGACCAGACTAACTCTGTTAATGCCTTAGTGTTTATTCCCATTTGCCTATCTGCAAATGCTGTTTACACATTTACACATTGGAAATCCTGTATGATTTCCAAGCCCTACTTAGTCACACAACTCAAGAACAATGCTGTTTTCTTCAGGAGCCATCCCTACAATCTATGATTGCAGTATTCAATTACAGCTTGTTGAATATCACCACTCCTAAAGTAAGTGCCGTTAGAATAGTCTTGATTTTGTTATTTATCACTGCCTGATCCCTGTGTACTGATCCCCAAAGTATTTGCTGAAACTAATTTTTGTTTGTTTATTGTTGGTTTAGAGACAGGATCTCACTGGCTGTCCTAGAACTCACAGGCTGGCCTCAAACTCGTGGAGTTCCTCCTGCTTTACTCCCAAGTGCTGGATTAAAGGCGTTCCATCACTCCTGGCTAAAATTTATTTACTGATTGGTATAAGAAACCTAACTTTACTGACAAAGCTCACATGTGTGAGTTCTACAGGACACGTTTAAGTAGCTAAAGCAGAAAAGCAGCGGTAGAAAAAGGACTAGGAAGTTTGTCCTTTAGAGATTATGGCATCAAATGTCCCCCCCACTTTAGTGCAAGTCCATTTGAAACATGGGAGTGTAACACGAGTTCTAATTGGTCTTAATAATAAAAACCTGGAATCAGAGATGCGGTAGCCAGTCACTAGTTCTTACCTCTACGAAATTCTCAGGAATGGGGTTTCCTGTCTCTACAAATCCTTAGACTGAATGCTCTCTCTACAAAACCTCAGAATGAATCCTTAGCTCCTGTCTTCTCCTGCCTTGTATTTCACTCTTCACCCAGCAACATCATGTCCTGCCTCCACCTCCCTACTGCTGGAATAAAAGGTGTGAACTATCACTGCAACGCTCTGTTTGTTTCCTTTTAGCCTGATTGGATCTTGTGTAGACCAGGGTGCCCATCACAGAGATCTGCCTGCCTTCTCCCAAGTGCTAGGAGTAAAGGTGTGTGCCATCATTGCCTGGCCTCTCTATAATTATAACTAGTGTGGGCAGCTTCTTATTCTGATCTTCAGACAAGTTTTATCTGTTATAGCACAAACAAAGTATCACCACATGGGAGGGATATTACTAATACATATGCAAGTTTCTCGGTCTTCTATTTCTATTACAATTGAAATGAGATCTTTAGAATAGGGATTGATTAATATATCATAATTTGTAGTAAATAGAATTGATAAGTATTTAATAAATCACACAGACTGAAAGAATTAAAAAATTAAAGAACACATAAGTGAAATTATTAAGAAGATAACATCTGATGTGCCACTGATAAATATAAAAGTCTCCTTTGCAGTAAAGGAAGAAGATACTTGCATATTTATTGGATTATTATTCCTTGATTTTCATCAGTGTGTATAAAGATGAATAAAATAAATGATTTATTTGGTTAAATATAAAATACATGAGCTATTATTGGAAAGAAGTACATACATATCTAATATGATCAAAGTTCCTAAATCTGTTCATTAAAAATACTAATACTGCAAATTAAAATTTATCAACAGTTGGTTGATATAAAAACCAACAGTTGGTTCAAATGTAATCTATATAATAACAAAATAATGAAAGCTTTAAAAAAAGGAAAACAAAAGAAACAACAGAACTATTTTCAGTCATAATAAAAAAAGATGTATGAAAAATATGAAAATATTAACGAGGGGGGAATTTATCCTTCATCAAAAGCATAAAAGAAGAAATGGTCTGTAAGAGAGCATGTGCTTACAAACAGGCTTGAATAGGATTGCTTATTATTATTATTAAGATGTGATCCACATCAACTGTGGTGATAACGCCAGAGAGGAAGATGGTAGAAGAATGCATGTGTTCCTATCCATGTATGTACGCACACATGGCCGTGTCATTTGTAGGTCCCAGAATACTAAAAACTGGGCAGAAATCACTGCAGTGGGTAAGTAGCAAAACCTAAAGAAGCAGGGCTGCCCAGATAATGATGGTATAACAACATCTTACAGCGTGACCACTGTGGAAGGCTGAATTAATTAATATGCCTTGACTCCTCCAATTATGTGGCAGATTTAGAATCTAAACCCAAGCTGTCACATTCAAGAAAGAACATTATTATTTTCATACCCTTAACACCTGTCACACTCTTTATTCAAGGAGTGCTGAATACTTGGTTTATTGCCTCACTAAACTACAATCATTACAGAATTCTTTTCATGTGAAAGTGGTTGTTTCGAATTTTATGGCCCCATTTTGACAGAAATTTAGTATATTTACTTGCCTAAACTTTTTTCAAACGTAAATTCAGATAAGAAAACTTGCTGGTAAGTTTTATGCTATGATGTAAAGGCTCTCACTTAGTCCTTCTAAGACTTCTCTCACAGATCACAATTGTCTTTGAGAACTCAAGTTATAGACCTAGGCAGTATATTTATGTCAGGTGTGATAATTACTTCGGGGGGGAAAAACCAAAACTGCTCCTAAGAACCTGCATGAGGTCAAACATTTGTACTTTACACTGTTCATGCTATCACCTTCGATTTCCTTAATCTTTACTTTTTATTTACTCTACCTAATCATGCTAAAAATGAGGCATAATTTACAGGTAACAACATCCCAAGATGTCCAGTGACGCACTTGGCCAGTTTGGATGAATGCATATGAAGAGAACATTTCCACCAGCTTCTCCTTGTGTTTAAGCACCAACAGTAATATGGCTTTCCTCATATCACAGCTCAGTTTTTTAATTCCAGAGTTTAAGAGAATACTGCCACACATAATTTCAATGTGTTTATGAATACTCATCCATGCTGTTTGTAGTAGCAGATTGTTACTGCCCAGTGGTGTTTTTTTTTTAATTAATATTGATTCCCTTGCTATAGATTTTTGCTTGTTTCTAGTTTGAGACTACATCATGAAAATTCTCACACAGGCGTTGTGAATCTAAATTTTGACATATTTTGGATAAATATATAGAAGTAGTATTGCTGAGTCATAGGATAGATTAATTGGTGTGGGAGAATTGTCTGTATTCTGTCAATCATGTATTTTAATAAAATGCTGATTGGCCAGGCAGGAAGGATAGGTGGGTCAACCAGACAGGAAGTAGAGGCGGGGTGATGAGAACAGGAATATTCTGGGAAGCAGGAAGCTCCCTCCGCCAGTCCTGCCCAGACCACCAAGAAGCAACATGTGAGCTGACAGCTGAAAAAGGTACCAAGCCATATGGCTAACACAGATCAGAATAATGGGTTAATACAAGCTATACGAATTAACAAGACGCCTGAACTAATGGGCCAATCAGTTTATAACCTAATGTAGACTCTGTGTTATTTTCTTTGGAAATTGCTGGCTGTGGGGTACCAGGCGGGACGGAAACCCCAACAAGCTGGCCCCTCATGTTACAATTAATTCCATGGGAAAAATAAATGAATATCACAATACTATAAACAGCTTAATTAGCTTTAAAGTATGAAAGCTAAAAAAAATATACTTGCTTAGAACTCGTGGCATCAGAAGAGTCTTGAGATTACAGAGATTTTTAGATTTAACATACTATCTCTACCGGTGTCTGGGAAAAATCTCTTACAACAATCTGACCTATGACAAAATATATATACAGGTAGAATAAAGAGTTGTAAAGATAATTTTCTTAACTTTTTGGAGTTGTGGATGGCTGACTGATGGACATATATAAATATGTATTTAAACGCATACATGTTATAATGAGATGTAAGTATGTCATCGGCTTTAACAAGCTATATCAAAGTAACAAACAGGTCAAATACCATTAGACTGAAAGGGTTTTAACATACAGTAAAAAAGTTTAAGTTTATTTTATTAGAATGAGAAATAAAATCTTCATCATCTAAGTATCATACTTCACAATAAAGCTATAGTATGAGCACACATTATCATCAAGACTCAGATAAATGAATTTTTCTGTAAGGTCATAATACAGAACAAACTCCTAAACAGAGCACATGAGCCAAAGTCCTTAGGCTTTACCCATCACATCAATACACTGGCACTACCCACATTCAGCACTACCACAATACCTTTTGTGTGGAATTGCCTTCTGAATTCATCAAAGACTGCACTTTATGAAGAAAATCATGTTTACTTATTAATATTGCAATTGATTAAAGTGGTGCTAAAGGCCATTAAGATGGCTCAAGAGGTAAGGGTACTTGCTGCCAAGCCTGATAACCTGAGTTCAATTTTAGGATCCACATGGTAGGAAAACTGACTCCTGCAGCCTCATTTCCAAGTTCTATTCTAACAAAATCAAATTTGAAGCCCCTTAGAACAGACTATAATGTTTCTCAGTCTCAGAACTGCACAGGCTCCTATGCT